GATGGATAATGTACGTTGCCAAGGCAACGAGTCTAGTCTTGATGAGTGCAGCCATCTTGGATTGGGTGTCCACAACTGCGACCACTCCAAAGATGTGGGTGTGACCTGCAGAACAGGATCAGAAGGTATGTAGACATCCTGGTGTTCTATTTGCTAGAGATGAATGTGACTGCATCTCTCATATGCCTAAGCCAGTATATATGTTCATGGATTCTGTGCCCCTCAGCATCTGACCTCCCAAACCCCACTATTTTTATAATTAATATATTCATGCTCATATCTAACTGTACTTGGGCCAATTTGGTCAACTTTGGTTCAGGTTTTGCCAAGTTATCACAATATAAATATATTTCTGGCATTTTTAAACACTTTTATGATCCTGTGACTTTTGACTTCTCTCACCCAAAATCTGTTCATCCTTGCATACTCATTCACAATTCGTCAAAGTTTGGCTTGAATTGGTCTAGTACTTTTCAGGTAATCGTGGTAACAAGCTATTTTGACCCTTAATACCTTTCACCTCATACACCTGGAATCTAATCAGTTTATCCTTCCATATTCATGCATACCGGATCCAAGTTCGGTTAAAATCCATTCAATGACGGTACTCGAGTTATCACGATAACGAACTATTTTCTGGTAGTTTTTAACACTTTATTACCTTTACCTTTGACTTTTCATACCCAGAATCTATTCACTTCATTCTTTGCATGCTAATACATACTTGTTCCAAGTTTGGTTAAAATCCTTTCGATCAACGTTTCTTGAATTATCGAGTAACAAAACGCATGACGGACTGATGGACGGGCAACATAAAAACATAATGCCCCCTGCACCACCTTTTGTTGCAGAGGCATAATCATCTTTTACTCTTGCGTAGATATTCAAATGCACATCAATTGTCTAAGGCTACACCTTGTTCTAGGAAAATTCTCCATGGAATGTTTAAATATTTCTTGCAAATGTTTTTCTTAATTAGTGATTTGATGTTCAGAGCCATTAATTATAACTCATGCCGTTTGAGGAAAATATGTTAAAGGATGTAGAACATGTCACCTTTTCCCTTTAG